TTTTTCATTTACAATGAAATGCTGTATAAAAATGTATGTGAAACTTTTTGTTTTGTTTTGTTTTTGGTTAAGTTTTGAGTTTTACAGTTTATACAGTGTCTGATCCTGACACTGTATACTAATATTACAATTGTAATTGAAAAACAAAAAAAAAAGGTTGATATCCTGTAATCTTGATTGTTCTCTTGAAAAATGACGGAACTACTGAATGAAAGGTGTATTAATTATTTAACTGTATAATATATTGTAATAGATCATTGTAAAGAAACAAAAGGTTGTTAAGTAAATCGAGACATTTCTTTTGTTCAATTTGGTTCATATTCTCGTGCTCTACTTATTATCTACGTACACTAATGACTTTTTGTCTTCACCAAGTGTTGTCACAAAGCATGCGAAACCTAAGTCCGGTTAATAATTACACCCCATAAATGCATCCTCGAATAAGATCTTTAACGAGCTCTTATGTTAAGTGTTTAGACAATAAAATTAGAACAAAACAAAAAAAAGAAATACTTTCCAAATTATTTTCTCTTATGTTCTTTTTTTACCCTCGACCTTCGTCAAGGATCATTGCTTTTATCAAATCATGTCAGCTATTGTTATCTCTTCTAATTAATATTCCTTTTGTTCACTTGTTGAGATTATTCTAATCAGATTTTTGTATTTTCTTCTAAAATATGATCAATATTTGATCAAAATATCGTTGAACTAACCTCAAAATCCAGACAACTACTGCAGTCAGTTTATTCTGATTTTTAAAATTGAATCAACATAGGTAAAAACTGTAAAGATTCACTTTGAAAATTGGTTTTAATTTGAAACAAAATTACGAACAATTTTCCATAGTAATTTATTTTTCAAAATTACAGCTAGTGTGATTGATCCATCCTTATTTTCAAAGCCTCAATTGGTAAGTCAGACAAAAAAATATAATCGATTGAAAGCGTTTTACAAGAGCAATGAATCGTATCGTTGAATTATTTGACGCTGTATACTTACTCGAATGCATTCACTAGAATATATGAGAAAATATTCCCCGTTACATCCTAGCGTAACACAATTTCCTTTGAAAAAAAAAAAAAAAAAAAACAACAAGTTTCATCGATCATCGGTACTCACAGAATGATAATCAAATTTTATTCCTAATGGAAAAAAAAAAAAAAATTAATTACCCATACGAAATGAACAAATGAGAATACGATTATACTAAAGTAACGAATAAAATAAACAGAATATTTTTTAACTTCCTCTGTTTATTGTTTTTTTTTTTTTTTCTAGAGATAATTTAATTGTAAGCGGAATATTACCTTCTCTGTAACGCGCTGCAAGTTCGAATAATGATCGTTCCCGCTTGGCGTAGATTCCATTTGAACTCCTTCTAAAAAACAAAAACAAAAACCAAACACATTCGATCGTTAAAAGAATATTCTAATATTAAAAATTGTATTTGCAATATCATTTTTATTAATTTAATCTAAGCTAATTACTATCTGATTTATATGAATAATATTATAAATTACAATTTTTAATCTAACCTATAAATGTTTCCTATAACTGTTTATAGTAATTATGTTAAATTAGAGAATAAATGTAAAAGAATATGATGTTATATATATTTATTATTAAACAATAATGTATATTTAAACTCTAATAAAACGTAAGATCGATTGTCATAACGATTTTAATGAAAAAATTGGTAGATAGGAAGATACAGTTGGTTGAAACGTAATTGGAATTGAACCAAGAAATAACAATTCTTCTATAAATCCAATTTCAATCAAACCCCTACAAACGTTTAAAAATTGTTTAATTATAAAGTTAACTTATAAATAATTGGGAGACTGTATATTTTTACAAAATGTAATAGAATACAGTGTCAATCATTTATTATTAAATAAAAATGAATAAATATTAACTACAGTAAAACGAATGATCGATTATCGTTTCGAAACTATCGAACAAATTGGTAGATAAGGAAGATCCAGATAGTTGAAACGTAATTGGAATTGAACCAAAAAATTAGAATACTTCTGTAAATATAATTTTCATTCTAACCTACAAACGTTTAACAATTGTATATTTTTACAAAATTTAATAGAATACAGTGTGTTAATTATTTATTGTTAAATAAAAATGTTTCAAACTAATACAGTTGGTTTGAAACGTATTTTGAATTGAACCAAGATATTAGATCGAATTTTCAATCTAACCTATAAACGTTTTACAATTATTTACAATGATCACGTTATGCGATACTAATTATTTATTATTAAACAAAAAGAAGTATATTAATTATTGTAAAACGTACAATCGATTATTGTAACGATTTTACAGAAGAAAAAAATTGGTAGATAAGAAATATGCAGCATGTTTGAAACGTATTTTGAATTGAAACAAGATATTAGATCGAATTATCAATCTAACCTATAAACGTTTTACAATTATTTACAGTGATCACGTTAAATCATAAAATAAATTGAAAATAATACGATGTCAATGATTTATTATTAAACAAATATATACATATTAACAATTGAAGAATAAACAATCCGATTATCGTATCAATATTATTAAAAAAAATTGGCAGATAGATGAATCTACATAATTGGAACGTAATTGAAGCAGAACCACGAGTCATAACTCAAAAGTATTAGAATCAACTTCAACCTTTTAAAAAAAATTGCAACCGGTAGATGCACTATCTACTTTTCTGAAGTTGCTCGATATCATCGGGTAAGAAACAAAAAAAAAATCGATTGACGTTCGAGATCATCGAAGAAAGCTGAAATAAAAGAGAGCGAGAGAAAGAGAGAAAGGGATTGACTGCTGCAACCAATCAAAGAGATATAGAAAAAACAAAAAATACTCATTGCCCCAAAGCAATTGGGTTTTTTTTCTCTCTCTCTCTCTCTCTCTCTCACTCTTTTACATTTTTTCCTTTCCATTATATTATTGCGGAGCAACCGAGTTGGTAACTTTCTAGGTGAACAAGATTTGCATCGTTGCTCTTCAATTTTGTTCATCTAACATCCACCATGATTATTTCTCATAATATCATAATGATAATGCACGAACGATTTATCTTGAAAATTATGCTTCTCTATATTACGTTTTATTTTATTTTATTTTTATTTTTTATTTTATTTATTTTACTTTTCAGTTTTTTTTTTCTTTTTTTTTTTTTCATTACTGTCTTATTTATTTTATTTTATTTTTTTTTTATCTCATGCCGTAACTCAACTCGAAACTTTCGTATTCTTTGTAGATTTATATACTCATCGTTGAAAGAAATTTAAGAAAGAGAGTTGGGTGTAAACAGTGACGTATCGAGTCAAATTGGTACCCTCCCCCCTCTCGAAAATAACTGTACAAATTTCGAAACAGTTTAACTGAAGTTCTGTTTGAAGAAATCAAACAAATTTGCATTAAAGTTATTAACATAAAAAGAAAAGTATTAACAAATTGGATGACATCGTAGTTTCTTTGGGGTTTTATTTATTTCATTGATCATTTAATTCACTGTCACTGAGTAGTAAATATAATGTCAGTTTTATTTCTAATTTTACATTGAAATAATATAAAATATTATAAAAGACAAAGAACAAATAATAAATAAGAATGAAGTAGAAGAAAATTTGCAATTGTTGGTAGTTTGAAGAAAATAAATTGACATTAACTTAGTCGGAATATAAACGATGGGAATGAAAAATTTGATTGCATGTGTATGTGTGTATATTCTCTTGTATGGGGTCCGTTAAGAAGGTGGGTACGTTGTTTGCCTTTAAAAGAAGCTAACACAAACCGGACTATTCCCCCATAAGGTTAGCATATCGTCGTTGATCTTGGCCGAGATTCGTGCTGACCATTATGGTCATAATCGTCCATGTGAATCTTAGAAAGGAACTACGCTTCTTTAATTATTAACACAAGATTTTGTTCGCATTTATTTTATCTTACATATCGGAATAATTATCGTTCGACTTTCAAGAGTTTCATATTTTGTTCAAATTCACATTTGTAAATTTGTTAAACGAATCGTGTCAATGAATCACCATAATAAATCATTCAATAGGATTTGTTAAATATTTATTAATAACATTGAATAAATTTTAGATAATTTATTTTTTTTTCTTATTTATTTATAAATTAATGTTAAACGTTTGGAAATTGTTGTTTGATCGATTTTCAATAATTTTGCAAGTTTAGTTTTAACATTTGACACGAGTTTTCGTGAATTAATGTTTATAATTTACATTTATTTTTACCATATACAAATTTAACGTGTTTTTGTTTTTTTTTTTAACACTGTAATAAAAAATAAAAAAAATATATTTACATGAAAATATAATAAATTACATTTCAAGATTTGTGTGTGTGTGTGTGATTATAGTACTTATTTATACATGAATTATTATCATAAATTATACATAGGTAATTTTAATAAAAATCAATGGTTAGAAAAAAAAAAGAAAATACGAAAATTTATACAAAATATCATCAATAATTTCAAACGAATCGTTAATAAGTCTGTATTTATTGATACGTAATGTCAAATCAATGATGTAATCGAAATTTCGCAAAAAATCGAAGACGATCGTAAATGATACGAGTTTTAAATGCCGGTGAAAGTCAGTCAAAATCAAATAATCTAAATGACTTTTTTTTTTACTGTATACAAAGTAATTGATACATCGATAAAAACAAGCGATTAAAGATTTTATTAATAATAAATAACTATTAAGTGAGATATTTTCATGTAAACATTCATTTTCGCGATAATTTTTGAGAACTTGTAATAAAAATATGTTTCAATTTTAATCTTATAAATCAAACTTTCAACCTAACCTGTAAATTTTTAACCGGTGGTACCACCACCAACGTAACCGGTGCTGGACCACATTAAATTATACAATAGATGTTAAAGATGACAAGAAAATCATTTATTGTTAAACAAAAATGTATATATTAATTACTGTAAAAGGTATTATCGATTATCGTATCGATACTATCGAACAAATTGGTAGATAGGAAAAGATTCAGATGGTTTAAACGTAATTGCAATTAAATCAAAAAATTAGAATACTACTGTAAATCTAATTTACATTATAACCTACAAACGTTTAAAAATTGTTTACTTATAAATGTAACTCATAAATAATATGATTGAGAGAGACTGTATATTTTTACAAAATGTTAAATAATACAGTGTTGTCAATCATTTATTATTAAATAAAAATGAATAAATATTAATTACTGTAAAACGAATGATCGATTATCGTTTCGAAACCATCAAACAAATTGGTAGATAGGAAGATCCAGATAGTTGAAACGTATTCGGAATTGAACCACGATATAAGATTAGGTTTTGAATCTAACCTATAAACGTTTTACAATTATTTACAATGATTATGTTTAATCATAGAATAAATATAAACGAATACTCTGTGTCAATCATTTATTAATTAACAAAAATATACTTAATAAATAATATAAAACGTACAATCGAATATTGTATAGATTTTATCGAAAAAAATTGATAGATAGGACGATTCAGGTAGTTGAAACGTAATCGAAATTGAACTACGATATTAGATCAATTTTCTAACCTAACCTATAAACGTTTAACAATTTTTTCCTAATAATTATAATAAATTATATAACACATGTGAAAGAATACTACTACATGAATCATTTATTATTAAACAATAATGTATATATTAACCATAATAAAACGTACTATCGATTATTTTATAGATATTATCGAAAAAAAAATGATTAGATAGGAAAAGATCGGGATAGTCGGAACTGAAACGGAATTGAACCACGAGACGTTTGAAAAAAAAACAAAAAGTAACGGATGTGCATGCCGTTGCACTCGAGATCATGGACCGGACCCGATCGGACAGGATCCGATCGGACCGACGACCTTTTACTCTCTTTTTAAATGAGAAACAAGGAAGGGGAAAGAGAAGGGAGAGAGAGGGAAAGCCCTACTGACCCAGAAGTCGTGAAAGCGACTCGACGTGTCCGTAAAATTGGTCCTCGCGTGTTTGTACTCTTGCATGCGTGGGTATACTTGTGTCTGTCTGTGTGTGTGTGTGTATGTATATGTGTTTTGTAAACGCCTTTTACTCGTTTGCACGATACCGATTCCTTTCTCTGAAACAAAGGTATTTTTGTTGTTGTTATGTTTAATTATCGTTAGTATAGTCTCGTACCGGAATAAATCAAAAAAGGTTCATTCACATAAGCACAGAAACATACATACACAGACTCACACAAACATACACTTTCGTGCGATTTCTCAAAAGTGGATCTCAAGAGAGTTTCGATCGATCGGAACACTGTATTTTTACCTTTCCAGTTAAAAAAAAAAAA